TTGAAACATATATCTCAAAGTAGCCAGATCTATAAAGTGCTTGAAAATGCACTTGATGGAAACTTCTGGTTTGCTACAATCTGTAATAATCTAGGGGATGGGAGCATAAAATGCTCTCTGCACTTTTTTAGCAGATCTAATTTTCCGTCTTTTCCCTTTAATTTATTTAAGCAGAGATTGAAACAAGTACTAAGAATTTAGATGGAAAAAAATAAATGTTTGTAGGAACCTGCTGGTGATATCCCTTTGCAGACTGGCCATGAAACCTTATGCATTTACCCAGCCACATGTGTCTTCAGATACTGAAAGAATATTTACATGCTCACTTTCAATGGCTGGAAACCTGTCAGAGTTAAACCCTACCTTTGTTATTGGAGCTTTGCTGTTTTAGTTAGTTTTCTGCCTGAAGTACATGATCTGAAACCTTCGCATTCAAATTTGAAATTAAGTGTACAGTTAAAATGCTAAAATAATGTATTTAAGAAGGGGGCAGGTGGGAGGGGGAAACTGTGCAATTGCAGCCAGAAAGAGAAGTGAGAATACCTGAGAGGAACAGCCCTGCAGACACTCAGGTCAGTGCAGACAGAGGCAGGACGTTCTCCAGGTGCTGGAGCAGAGATTCCCCTGCAGCCCGTGGTGCAGCCCATGGTGAGGCAGCTGTGCCCCTGCAGCACATGGAGGCTCTCCATCGAGCAGATACCCACCTGCAGCCAGGGGAGGATCCCACACTGGATCAGGGGATGCCTGAAGGAGGCTGTGACCCCGTGGGAAACCAAAGCTGGAGCAAACTCTTGGCAGAACCTGTGGTCCCATGGGTTGAGGAGCCCACACTGGAGGACGTTTGGCTGTGGGATCTGTGACCCCATGGAAGGGACCACGCTGCAGCAGTCTGTTCCTGAATGACTGCACCTCATGGGCAGCCCACCTCATGAGTAGCCTGCACTGGAGCAGTCTGTGAAGAACTGCAGCCCATGGGAAGGACTTACGCTGGAGAAGTTCATGGAGAAGTGCCTCCCATGGGGGGCACCCCAGGCCAGAACAGGGTAAACGTGTGAGGAGTACTCCCCTGAGAAGGAAGGAGCAGCAGAGACAATGTGTGATGAACTGATCACCACCCCCATTCCATGTTTTCCTGCGCTGGTGGGGGGAGGAGCTGCAGAATTGGGGAGTGAAGTTGAGCCCAGGAAGAAGTGGGGTGCTATGGGGGGAAGGTGTTTTAAGACTTAGATTTTTTTTTTGTCGTTATTGTACTCTGATTTGTTTAGTAATAAGTTAAACCAATTTCCCCAAGTTGTGTGTGTTTTGCCCATGATGGTAACTGGTGAGTGACGTCTCTCTGTCCTTATCTCAAGCCACAAACCTTTTGCTATGTTTTCTTTCCCTCATCCAGCCAAGGAGAGGAGTGACAGAGCAGCTTTAGTGGGCACCTGGTGTCCAACCAGGGTCAACCCACCACACATAGTGACAGTAAAAAAAAACTGGAACATTTGCTAAAAATACATTCAATATTCGTGCATGTAATACTTCTGGACAACATGTAGTTGTTTTCTGTGTCTCAGAATGTACACCTCCAGGGTTTCTCTAACTCTCTGCAAAGGATCTGTACACTGTGATAAATAGCATTATGCAAATAAACTCTCCATACTTGACTTCTATAAAATACACCATTCCTATAAAGAACACCTTTGAAAGCAGAGAAAAAGCAAAGCTCAAGGGATTATATTGTACCTTTCCAGTAGGTTTTATACAATGCATACGCATATATGAAAATTTATCCTTAATGCAGAAGGCTTATCCTAACCTCCCTTTGTTTGCTCCCTTGGAGTTTGCCTTCCCTGAAATATGTGGATGGGCAGGAAGCATCTCTGCCCCAGGGGCCAACCCAAACTCTGCGGCATGAGGTAAGAAGAGCCATGGCCAGGCTCTATGGACATAACCGTGGCATTGCATGTTTGCAGGGTCCTGAGGAGCTGGGCTTTACCTGCTGCTCTGTGAAACATGGAAGGGCTGGGGATAGGCTGCGATCAGGGATTTAAGTCATTAAGTTAACAGGGGCCTGTTAATAATATACTTAAGTTTAAGCATAATTTTCAATTGGATTTAATCATCTGCTTCACTTGTATGTATTCATCATTTAAAATACTGGAAGAGACACATACATTTAAGAAGGCCGAGGAGTAGCAGCACATTTGTATCCTAAAGCTCTGCAATTTGGATATTTTATTCACTTTTGGCTGTTTCATGAAATGTTATAATAATGACTTGGTATCAAACAATGCTGAAAGGATGCTTCCTGGGTTTCTACTCTTCAGGCCTACTTTTCATCCTTAACTCCTAGAAAACACCTATCTGATTCATTATTTATCCATGCACCTTTCAGTATCTGGTTCTATTGCCCTCAAAGGTCTTGAGATGTCTAAATCACACTTAGATGCTCCTCCTAAATGACTTCTTCAGGATCAGAATAAAAGCATATGAAGAACAGAAAAAGTTTTTTTTCTGTACTGGCAAATCAATTCATTCTTTGTCAGTTAAATGGCAACAGGATCCACAGATGTGGATCTGGAGTAATGTTTCAGGATACATCCTTCTTCAACTCTTGTGAATCACACAGTCTTCAAACTGCTGCTGGCGTAAACTTTTTCTTTCTTTTTCTCCCTCAATAGATGAGTTCAAAGCTCTTCTAATTTCAAATGAACTTGAAAGATTGTTCCAAGACAAAGAAGAGGCAAATTAAAATGCATCTTTCATGGCATCTTCTTTTGACTTCTCTTGTGCCCAAAATTTATATACTTTTTATTTATTTACGGAAATTTGTATAGTTTGTTATACTGAAGAAGAATAATAGTTTATGTATTTTTTTAATCCTTTTTTTTTTTTCCTAAAGTTAGCAGTGAATAAAATACAGTTAATTTGAGACCAGTGGAGTCAGTTGACAAAGGATAGGGAACAGTCATTAAAATGTATTTTAAATGAAATTGCAAAATGTTCTGGTGTTTTTTTTTTCCTACCTCCTCTTCTTCTGAAGACCACTTAAGAGCTCATCTTTTTTTTTTATTATTTCTTTTTCTTCCTATCTGGAGCTATTATAGATTAAAGATGTCAATTATGATGGCCCAAAATTGCTGTTATTAGGCCAAGAGTTAGTTGCTTATAATGGTTAAACTTTAATGCCTTTTTTTCTGAACATTCCATTGCTAGATGTCTGCTTCACATTTTGCCTGAAAAATTTCTTTTCAGTTTTAGCAAAAATAGTGCAGCAACTTCAGAGAGTAGGTGGCAGAAGTGCTCAGTGTTTCACCAGCTAAGCCTGGTAAAACCTTTTTCCCAAAATACACCCAAGTCATAGAGTAGGGGCTTACAAAATGGAGCAGGAAATCTCAGTCAGATTTTTCAGAAAAATCTTCTATTTGTATAAGTCAGGAGCTTCAGAAAATAACCATTTACAAATATGCAACAGAGAAAATGTTGGTAAATTTTCAAGTAATTTTCACATGCTATAAATGTGCTCCAATTTAGGGATGCCACAGTGAGCATCTGCCCTTCACAGCAAGATGTAAAGTACCCCATTGCTCAGGGAGGCTGTATCTGATCATAAGTGCCAAAGGCGAAAACACCATCTTCTGCACTTTTTTTTTTAATCGTGATGTTGCAGAGGCTGGTGGAGAGAAGTGACAAGAGGTTTCTGAGGTATCCCCTTTTCCCAAGTAACGAGATAGGAAGAGAGGAAATGGCCTTAAGTTGCACCAGGAGAGATTTAGAATGGATATTAGAAAAAATTTCTTCACCGAAAGGGTTGCCAGGAATTGGAACAGGCTGCCTAGGGAAGTGGTTGAGTCACCATCCCTGGAGGTATTTAAAACTCATGTAGATTAAATGGACATGGTTAATTGGTGAACTTGGCCCTATTAGGTTTACAGTTGAGCTCTATGTTTTAAAGGTCTTTTCAAACCTAAATGATTCTATGATTTCCAGAAACCAGCATGGCTAATCACTTCTAGGCAGAGCTGTTTTCCCCAACTTTTCTGTTCATGATCTCACTGTAATTGTATTCACCATACTTTTAATTTGCAATCCAATTTAGGCCTGCAATTCCTAATTTGGCAATAGATTAATTTCTTCCCTTAATCAGGACTTTTTGCCTGGAAATCCAACAACATCTTTGGTAATCTGAACCTCACATCCTACCTGCTCTGTCTCATGATAGGCGCTGTTTTACCTGTCTGGCATTTTTCCTACGTTTTGTTAGACTGACTGGGTGCTGCCACCTACCATATTGTGCCAACATGGCTGTTGTACCTCATCCATGTTGTGCAATAATCTGGAAAGGCTCTGTGTTTCTAAAGATGACCTGGCTCTCGGAACAACATATTGCTTATAAAAAAGGCTTTGATAGAATTGAGCTGTGTACACAGATGCAGAATCCTTGGGTCACCTACTTGCCACAATCAGTGATTCTCTCTTCAAATCCAAGATTATTTAATAGGGAAAAATACCATAATAGAAGTGTTTCAAGGCAGAAATACTCTATTTTATGTTGCAATTCTTTGTCCTTGATACTCAAAGACTTTATATCTTGAAGAAGAGTCTGTGTTGTCTTAATTTGGTGACGATATTTTGGGGCAGGAAGGAAAAAATGTAGTTTACAGCAATCAAAGAACTCTGGAGTTAGACGTGCCTTAGGGAACAAGATATAGGTGTGGAAAGCAATTACTGACAGATCAGTGAGTATCACATGATTGTTCCCTCTGCAAATGACTAAACATGAAAAGTTAACATTATATGTGGGCAACAAGAAGATCATCTATAATGTTCTGATGCCTGCTCCTGCTTAGTGAAAAAGTAGTAATATTTTTTTCAGTAATATAGCTAGGTACTCTGTCATGGGATCAAGTAGTTCTTTCATTTTAATGCAATTTTCTCCAATGCAAAGAGCACTGTGCAGAATGGACAGCTGAGAAATGAGAACATATTTTGTCATTGTAATTCATGAAGTTTTTATTTATTTTTCTACTACTGTTACCAAATTTCCTGCCTTTTTAGTTGGTTTTAATATGTTACTAAGGAAGGCAACAGGCAACATCAGATTTGTGACCAAGTATCATGCAGTCCTGTTTAGGTTTCTCAATATGTAAAATCAAAACCTGCTGTGTTACCTGTCATTCAGCATGATCTTACTGAAGAGGCTTTCATTTTGAACTTTGATTGTCCTGTTCATGTATAATGTTAGCTCTTTTGCTCAGAAAAAACCTCTTACAGCACATGGGGGTATGCCACTGACTGTGATGGGTTCTGGTCATACTCAGGACATCCAGATGCTATAATCAGATGATCCTGTCTGGGAAGAAAAAAGTACGTTGGGAAATTACAGTTCAGAACTCAGCTATCTAATGAAGCAAAAAGACTACTGTTTTCAGTAATAAACAATGGCTTTCATCATGAAGCCACATGTAATAGGAAAGAAAAAACATTTACAACTGAAAATCTATTTTGACTGAAGATTTGTGATCTACAAATTGCTTTTAACAACTCCCAGAAAGTAATCCTTCAAACAAGAGATTCTCAGGTGAAAGCATACTTGAGCCTCGCAGTGTGGTACAAAGACAGCTTTTGGATTTGTTGTGATTAAAACACTAGTCAACAGAAGAACTGCAGATGTACCCTGTGCCTTGTAGTAGATAAAATAAAACAAATGTTAGAATTAACAATTCCTACCATGCCTACCCCTAGCTCAGCTCTGCTTCTCTCCCTCTGTTTACTCCACTGCATGTAGAAAATGTTTGCAGGGTATTCTGTATTCTGAATTTTAATATGAGATCAGGTCAGAAGTGATGCCTCCTTTTTACTTAGAGGAGCTGGTAGCAATGCCTGAAATTAAGATTGATTAATTGATTGTTACTGGTTTCCAATAGTTTTCCAAACTGAAAGTCTGTCCTGAATATTTGTGTGCTTCCAGGTGAAGTTGGTTGGGGAACCTTATGAGGAAATTTAGAGAATGATTTAGAAATTCTTCAGAATGAGTTGCTGAAAACTTGTTATCTACATATCCTTTTTTTTTTTCTCTACAATAAAGTCCTAAAGAACACTAAAACCTTGTAATGTTTGTTAATCAGTGATTCCTTCTCTGATGCTGTATCCTATAGCACCATCAGTTTGAGCTTTCAAGCAGCACTTGTGAGACTTTGACAGCTAAACCCTCAGCTCATTCCCTCTGTGGCGGGTCTGCTCCATGCCATGCCAAGACTGCAATTGCATTCTAGGGTTTTCCTGCTGTTAAACCTCCTCAAAGAGGAATGACTTCAGATGAAGGTCTTCTGTAAGTACTGTAGCATGTGCAGTAGACTTCAATGCATGTCTCAGAACCTGAGTCTCAAATGGCACTATATTTAAGCAACAGCATTTTACATTAAGATAAGATAGCTTAGTAAAACTTCCATTTTATGTAAAAGAATTCAAATGAGATATTTAGAAATGAGGCACATTGCAGCACAAATAAGTCTTCAAAGTAAAAGCAACTGAAATATACAGATCAGGTTTTAGCAAGATTACATATGTTAGGAGCTAACCAACACAACCTTGTATATTTATTTGTGTGGCTTTACCAGTAAGCCATTGGAGTAAACAGTCTCAGGTGTTGTAGCAAACATATGTTTTAAAAATTGCAGGCTTTTTACAAATGTGATTGATTCTCTGTAGTTTAACCTAATATTTGCCAACACCCCCCCCCAACCCAAAAAACACAGGAAGAAGGAGATGAAGAAGAAAAAAAATAGCCTATTCAGATTTAAAATAAGGTGGTTTTAATTTTTATATGCAATCAGTGTAAATTATGTAAGGCTAAAATATAGCTTCATTAAAGACCAAGCCTTAGTGAAAAGTCCTAGCTTTTGTGGAATTTAATATGTAAGGAGAATATTCAAAATGCCTCTTGTATTGTCTGTTTCTTGCCTTTGAAATATTTTCGTCTTTTTTTTCTTTCTTTTTCCCCATCCTGGATTGTAAGACTTGTTTACATCTTTGTTAAATTGTTCTTCCCAAAATCGGGCACAATTTCAGCTGCTGAATAGAGCAAAATAACTATCCCTTATGTCTTCTGAGACTGAGTTTTATCTCTTTTTTTGAGTCTACATTATGGCATTTATTTATAATTAGTCTGTTGTCTGATGCAACTCTCAGACCCTTTGGTGCTTTAATGGTGCTTGACCAACTACTCATTAACTGAGCAGTTAAGAAAGATATCCAAGTCTCTGTTCTCTTGGGTATTTCTGCACAGAACATTGGCAGATGATCAATTTAGGTGGCTAACAAGGCCAGACCATTGGCTTTGCAAGGACCTCCTTTTGGCAGAATCTCCAAATGAGTCTGGTTTTCCATGCAGCAACACCAGCAATGAGATATCTATTTCCCTACCTTCTTCTGTCAGGTCTGATTCATATACATTTTTAGAAGGGCTGGCAAGTTTGTCTATATGGCTTGTTTCTTAGGCATGAAAAGTAGGACCCTGTCAAGATACCTAACCATGACTGTGTTGGCTAGTGAAGGAGTAATAAGGCGATACATTTCTAAACAAAGCTCTGGGGGTGTTTCTGGGTCTGCTTTCCCCATATGCTGTGGGATGGGGCCACGGTCGGTTGTGCTCCTGCGCAGCTCCATTTCCTCAGGGACCTCACCTTCTCGCAGCTCCCTGAATCTCTAGGGTTATACTGGCGTAGTCAGCTGCTCCCAGGCTAACCCTCCATCTGCGACTTCTGGATGCTTATCTGAAATGGCATTTGCAGTTCATCATCTGACTCTGAGGGAGTGCTGCGTGTGCTCTGCTGAACCAGCAGTGGCACAGGGTGACACTGCTCTGGGGGATAGGGGCTGCCAGCAATGGCCACTGTGCTAATTCATTAGTGGAAACATCCAGAAAGCCTGATAAGAATTTATGAATCATTCAGAATGTTTTTTTGGAGGCATTTAAGTTTAATGAGTAAACTTTATGTATGTATGTGTGTATGTTTATGCAGAATGTGGTACTGCTTGCACAGTTTGCAATACTTGTAGCCTTGCTTCAAGAGCTGGCTTAAAACACATTAAAATAAACACAGTTTGGGTCACCAGTCTCCAGAAAGGCACACATAGTTTCACTGGAGTTGTGTAAGTTTATAGCAAAGATCTGTTTGAAGCATTGCAGAAACTAGAGAAGAAGTTGGCAAATAAATACATCTAAAATGTCTTTTGGATTTCCCAGGTTTGTGACATGAGGGAATCTCAACAGATGTTATTAGTGCCAATTGGAAAGAAATTAACCAGTCTCCATAAAGTAGAATACATGAGAAATCTCAAATAATTAATTATTTTATAGGGAAATCTCAGTGCCTCAAACTGTCCTAGAATCCATACTAAAACAACTTGTCACTTTTTAAAAATTACTTTTGATTATTCGAATAAATTCAGATCACTTCTTCTTCACTTTTTGTTTCTTCTTGAAAACATTTTTTGGGATGTTTTTAGGCCAAAATTCATTTGTCAATAAATGTCACAGAAAAAACTTTGCCATATCAGTTTACACCTAAGAACCTCCTGAGAAGCAGTTGATTCTCATCCTTGTTGGATTACATCCATGTAATTGAGAATTACAGACACAGTTGCAGTTACTGTTCATATAAGATAAATGCAGGTATACGTATCTTGATGCTGAATTCTGGAGTTTTTTCACCTCATAAAACATGGGTGGTTATAAAACAGCTTTTTCTCAATTCCAGACAAAATTTTATGAGATCAGAAAGAATACAACTACGGGCTATAGCTTTGTACCTGTCTCTAGTCATAAAAAGTGTTTTAGATTTAGTATATAGTAAATATCTGCCAGTGTAGGGACAAGAGGACTTTAGAACCGATCCTCAAAATCTGTGAAAGGTGTGAAGGGGCTAAGACAGAGCCTGATGGGTATAGGAAGTGGCCCTCCTCCTGCTAGTAAGAAAAGCATTTTCAAGATGGAACAATTACTTAGTTTCTCACCCACTAAAGGCTACATCATCATGAGGTCAAAATCAGTAGATTTTTCTTTCATTTAGTCTTGCCTAATTTTCTGGGGGGAAATAGCTTCATGTCTGAATACGTATTTTTCAATAGGCAGAATTTGAACATTAGGTTAAGTAAGGGATCCCAGTGAGGCTTATTTCTTTATCTTAAATTAAATATGAACACCAAAAGGCAAGATAAATCCCTCCATCATCTCTGCTGAGGCAAAGCAGCGAAAGTGCCCTGCAGCCTCTCACAGTGTTTGAGACAGTAAACTAAGAAGTTACATCTGATTCAGATGGCTGTTTAAGGACAGCAAGTGGAGGATTGCAGCAGAGCATTTTAACAGAATGCCACCAGCAAACAGGTTGACAACTTCTCAAATGCATTTTATAATGTAATATATAATAATGGGTTATATGTGATGTTCTCAGGAGGGCAGAGAGATCATAACATGGTACATTCTATTGACACTGATCAAGCTTTCATGATTATGTTAAATCCAACTTTGTTAATGTGAAACACCAGAAGATTTTGCAAGCTGTTTAGAATACCCTGAGGTATTAATATTTGGGGGTTCTGGGTCAACATATAGTTATGCCTTTTTTTATTCCAATCAATTTATACACTTCAGAAAACTAATTTTTATGCTTTCAATCAGAGAACAAATTAAAGTGATCATATTAGAGTTTACAAATGTCTACAACATTATACAGGCAAAACTGCTTAGCTAAATTTCCAATAGCATGGAAACTGATTTTTAATTATATTTGCAACTGCGATGGAGAAATGTTGAATATTTGCTGTCATTTCAGATTGTAGTCTGCAAAAATTGCTAATTAAAGCAGCGGGTCATATCGTGCAGTGTCAAAGAGATGTGATGTTTCCTTTACTTGGAAACAATAACTCCTGCTTAAGTACAAATATGACTGTTGACAGGAAAGGGCAAGGAAGCCACACACTGACAGGATTTTCACTTGTTCAGTATTATGTTGAAGACCTAAGGAAAATGAGCATCCTAGGGAACAAAGCTGTTGTGCTGTGATGAAAGTGAGACAAAGTGTTTGCAGCTCCTCCGATATGGACTAGATTTTACATAAATCCATAGTGAGTTTCTAAATTGATTTACACCACTGAAAACATACTCCTATGGATAGTAAGTTTGCACAAGTCACATTATAATCACGGTAGGTTATATTCTGTGAGCTGCAGGATATCCATAAATGTCAACAGTATTGTCTTAAAGCCACTTATGCCTAATTTTCTCCAGAGGGAGAAAGATATCCTCCAGTCTGCAAAAAACTCTCTGTTTACAGAAAAACAAACAAACCC